CCGATGCGGGACTCGATCCCGGGACTCCAGGATCATGACCTGAGCCGAAGGCAGTCGCTTAACCAACTGAGCCACCCAGGCGCCCTCATAATGTATTTTTAAAGAAAGATTTATTTTAGAGAGAGAGAGCACGTGTGAGCAGGGGGAGGGGCAGAGGGAGAGAGAGAATCCTCAAGCTGACTCCCCACTCAGTGCGGAGCCCGATGCAGGGATTGATCCCCAGACCCTGAGATCATGACCTGAGCTGAAATGAAGAGTTGGACACCCAACTGACTGAACCACCCAGGTGCCCCACGAGCACTACATCTTAATTTTATATACTGCTAACCTTACTCTAGTTTTTTAAAGTATTTTTCATTTTATAATGGTATTTATTTTATTTTTTTTAAAGATTTTATTTATTTTGACAGAAAGAGTACAGGCAGGGGGAGCGGCAGGCAGAGGGAGAGGGAGAAGCAGGCTCCCTGCTCATCAGGGAGCCCTATGTGGGGCTCGATCCCAGGACCCTGGGATCATGACCTGAGCCGAAGGCAGACGCTTAACCGTCTTAGCCACCCAGGCGCCCCTATAATGGTCTTTAGTTTTATAATGAATTTATAATTTATTTTACAAAATAATTTTGTGATAGATTTTGTATGGTTTCCCAGGTATATACACTATTATCTGAAATAGAGATAGTTGAATACCTTGAGTAGAATGTTGAATACCTTGAGTAGAATGTTGAATAGCAATAGAGATAATGGACATCCTTGCCTTGTTCCTCAATAATGGAACTGCTTCATGTTTCTCCTATTAAGGATTCCATTCATCCATCTCAATCTCTCTTTTTCCTTTTTAAAAATATAACACCAATCTCTGTATTTTTGAATTTTTCTCCTCCCAGGAAGGGTACTGAATTCTACCAAAAGCTTTTTAGGCATCTATGGATATATGATTTTTTTCTTTAGATTGTGGAAGATTACATTAATTAATTTCCTAACTTTGAGCTGACCTTAAATTCCTTTAATCCCATTTGGTCATAGTGTATTGTTTTTGCAATATGGTATTGGATTCTGTTTACTAAAAATATTTAACATTTTGCATTAATATTTGTAAATGATATTGGTCTATGATTTTTCCTGTCTCCGGCAGGCTTAGATATCAATATTATACTTGCTTCATAAAAAGAATGCTCTTGAACGGTATATGGGGGCTTTAGAACAATCTAACCTTTGAGATTTGGTAGAATTTCCCTGTGAAGCCATCTGAGTCTGGTGCTCTTTGTGGGGTAGTTCCTTGATAACTTGCTCTATTTCTTCTAAAGAAATTTTCCATTTCTAATAGGTCAATTTCGGTAAACCACATTTTTCTAAAAAATTATCCATCACAACCAAGTTTTAAAAAATTTATTTATAGAAAGATATAGTCTTTTATGATTTCATAATATTTCAATGGTATGTCCCCTTGTCATTTCTATTATTTGTGATTTTTCCTTTTTTAAAAAAATCAGGTCAGTTCATGGTTTGTCTATTGTGTTAATTTTTTCTAGACCTTCTATTTTTCTATGTTCTACCTCAAATTCTTTAAAAAACCATTTTATTAACTATATTTATTGTAAAAAGTATATGTGAGTTGGCAAAACATTTAAGTAGTTCATCAAGGATAAAGTTAAAGTTGTAAGTTCTCTTTCCCCTCAAAGCACCAAGAGGATTGTCAGTTTTTATTTTAAACAGCTTGATTAAGGTATAACTGACATACAATCAACTGCATGTATTTAAAGTATTTCAATTTAAAAAAAAATTTTAAAAGATTTTATTTATCTGTTTGAGAGAGAGAGCACGAATGGGGTGGTGGGTAGAGGGAGAAGCAGACTCCCTGAG